GCAAATCCCTGCCTGGGGCAGAGTCCTGCGCTTAATTACCTTGCTGGCGGCAGCGCTGAGCTTTGACCCAGATCGCAGCTCGCGTTCTCACTGAGGTGTTGGTGGTGACACTTAGCACGGCGTGTGAGCTACTTGTCTCCCCTCCCCCTTCCTAGCCTGCGCTGGGATGCGGGGTCGCTTTACTGCTATCTCTGAGCGTTGGAAACTTCCGACGCCACCTTGTACTATGGCTGAGCTACGCACACGAGGACACTAACTGGAAAACAAGGAAAGTGCTGGCCTGGTTGGTAAAACAAGGTTTTAGGCCTGTTGTAAAGGTTTCCAGCTATTAGGAAAATTGTGGTAACATGCTGCTTGTGGGTCCATCCTTCAGCGCTCTTCAGTCTTGAGTGCCAAAGCACAGACACAGCGCGCACAGAAGAAGGGGAGGGGAAACTATAAAGCAGAGAAAATAACCTTCTTTTAAAAAAAGGCTTGTATTGTGCCTTGTAAGATCTTATTTGACCTTCCTCCCATAGCTTAGGGGACGAGGACATAAGGCTACTCTATCTGCATAATTATTTGTGCCTGCTGTCGCTAATTAGAATGGCTATTAATGAACAAATGAAGCATGGAAGAGACTTGAATGAAAAAGCAGGTTTTTTTCAAAGCAAATTTATTACCTAAATAATGTTCTCCTTAGCCACTCCTTAAAACCACTGCTAAGAAGAGGAAAACAATATTACAAATGCAAACATAAGTGTCCTACTACATATCAATCACTCCTTTAAAAAAAAAAAACTGTTCCACAAGATGCATTACAGAAATTCTCACTTGTAGGTTAGATTTGGGGGAGGGAAGAGGAGATTAGGTTTAGCTAAGTAGTATGAGGAATTCTTTAAAGCATTCTAGGCAGGATGAGTGATTTTAGGGGTGAGGAGAGGATAGATAGCTTAATTTCAAATCAGCTAAAGGTGTAGCAAAAATGGTTTCCTGGGAAAAGCAGATCATATTTTGTAGAATCAGAGACTTGACAACAGCCTTAAATAATCTCATTTTGGAAAAAGCACTCTGGTTTCTTCCTGATGACTGCTATGGAAACCTATATTGTTCCATGACCCTTTTAACCTAAAAGGTTAATATAGCAACCATTTTTCTGTCAAAATCCTGGATGCACACTGCTGCTGAGTAGGATTAGGTTAAAGCTGTAAACCTTCATATTGCCCAATTGGAATCAAGCTCTGGCACCCCAATGCAATAAGCTTGATGTGACTATCCACAGTGAGTGAATTGGATGCAGTTAAAATATTATATTTACCCTGGTATTGAAAAGAATCTGTAAATATTGGTACTAACCATCTGCTGTGGTTAATTTTTAGCAAATGGTTTAATGTGTAATGTTGCAATTCCAGTAGCATACAAAATGAAATATCTATCATTATTAGTGAAAATAAGTAGTTCAAAAGTGTATCCTCAAGTCAAATTTAACAACCCTTCTGGAACAAATATGTGCGAAAAAGCTGGCTCAAAATTTGTTATTCACAAACAATATCAGAAATATATTCACTTTTGTCTGTCCTCACCTCGGTTAACTTCAGTGGAGATGCACAAGTATAAATAAGGGCCGAATTGTATCAAGTGTACTGTAAAATCAAAATATTGATGTGTAAACACTGGAGCTAATCAACAATTGGCATTTGTCATGGAAAATGCATACATTTCCTCTTTCATCCAAATCAGGATAAAGGGACAAAATAGTGAAATTGTTCACAGAATAAAATGTAGAAGTTTAACTTTGAAATTGTAAATAAGAAATCTTCAATAAAAACAGAACATTTGGATACTCCTCTTGAAACATTTCAGGTTGGCTCAGCTCATCATTGAAAAGGAGTTCTCTGAGCTGCTGTGGGTTACCTTCGTGGGATTGTAGGTCAAGTGCTTCATGTCTCCTTTTCTAGGAACAAGGCAGCCCAATCATACTACCACTCCCATGAGTCACTGAAGCAGCTCAACCTTAGGGGCACTGAATCCTGCACAGAGAAGAGAAAGGGATGCATAAGGTACAGTAACTGATCAGGCAAACACAAATTAAGATTGAATTTGCAGTTAAACATGCTTAGTTCCACAAACCAAAATATAGTTGTTTGGGGTGATATTTTGATATACATTTTTTCAATTGCTTTGAAATAGCATTTAATTTTTAAAACAAATCTATTTAGAGACTGGTTGGAGCCAAATCAAAAGTAAAATGGCAAAAATAATATTATTGACACTGTGATTTAAGATTTCTTTAAGAAAATAACTTCAGACTAAAATTAAGCAGAGCCTATGGATTGGATCAGGCCTGCATAATGTATTTATATGTCTGCATGTCATGCTTCAATTCTAAAGATTTTTTTAAGTTTCAAGCCCTTCTTATTATGACCTGAGTGTACAGTGATAGAATGCGTTCCTCCTGAGTGTGCAGACAGCATGAATCAACCACTTTAAGGTGTGAACTCCATGCTTCCCATTAATCCTCTTTGTATATTAATGTTAAAGCCTAACACCACATTAGGCAAAGGAACCTTAGATGACCCTGTTTCCTTAGAACTTTAGTGGGATTTGGTAACCTAAACACTATAGGCTGAGATTTTTAAAGGAGCCTAGATATTAATTATTTTTGTCAGTGAAATGACAATGAAGCCCATGGGAGGAGAATTGGGATTTGCTATAAAGTGGGATATGCACAGAAAGACTATGGGGGGGGGGCGGGGGGGGGGGGAAGGGAGAGAGATAAGTGGACCTAAATGGAAGCAGTTTTCATTGTCATACTGAATGTAACAACTGAAATCTTAGTTATTCCATAGGGGTGGTAATAAACTACCCTCATCTTTGTGCAGACTTTCCTTTGACATCAGTGGGCATTCAGCTGTGTTTTGTGGGAAAGCGTCATCTTAAATATGTATTACTTGTGCCCAATAAAAATTGAAACTTGGCCTTGTCAACAGAACGAGTTTGATACTGGTCTAAAACAGGTGATTTTTGCTGCCTTTGGGGAAGGATCAGTTTTCCCTTGTCATGATATGACTATCTTAAGCACTGCACTTTCTGCTAGGGAAAAGCTGCTCCCAATAGGGAACCCATTCCCAAGGCTGGAGGAATTAACCATTACCTGGCAGCGGCTGATCCCACTGCTGCTGGGTCAGATTAATAAACTCCACACTTGCAGGACTGGTTGCTACCTGATAGTTATTTGTTTGTCCAGTCTGTTTCCCTCTCGAGTCAAGCATACTAGACTCTTAGTAATTAATCTATTCATGAAGGTTTGCCTTCTAAATCAGGGGCGTCATTTTATAAGATGACAGCTTTTGAGGTTTTCATACTTATAACACACGTAATCAGGCTTAGAACAAAATCTTAATTCAAATAAAGATCAAAAGTTGTCTAAATCTACAGTTTAGTCTGAGTAAGCAGAACCTAAACCAGTGGGGAATTTGCCTAATAATCAGCAGCATGATATGTCTCTATTTTGTTAGCCACAGTGCTATCTCCAGCAAATCTTCAAATCAGAAGAAATAAACTTAAATTATTGAGAGCATCAGGAAATACATCTGGGAAACATGGATTGCTTTTTAATGTACCTGTAGAGGAAAATCTTTAGGAAACTCTTATGGGAGACAGCACAAGCATTTTGCCAAATAATTTTTAAAAGCTTTGACACTTTCAATAGAGAGAAGCTGAAAAATAATCAGCTTGTGTATCTTGAGATACAGCATAAAATTCTGAAGAGAATTTCTACCTGGTTGTGAGACACTAGTTTAATGGACTAGCAAAAACACTAAATTAAGGTATTACAATGCTAGTGAGAAACATAATTAGCTATTTGATACAGTAATATACTGCAAATTTTTAAAACGGATTAAGTAATCTGATGATTGAGTCCAATACCTAATTTTCATTAGCTTCCACTTAAGTAAACAAGATACCCTGACTTTGGTAGTGGTTCCCATATTACCTGTAGTAGCTATCTGGGGCAACATACCTCTCCTAGACCCAGGGGACAGGAGATTGTTCAAACATCTTCTACTATGAAGATTCAAAACCCTGCAGAGTGCGATAGGTGCCATCAATATAGTATGAAGTTATTATGAACTAAAATTAGAAAATATACCTAAGCTTATTTAAGAAATCCTACAAATGGAGAGAGACTGTATCAATCTGCTAATTTTTATTATAAGTTACATATGTTGCTACCTTAGAATTGCATTCCTTTTTCTTACTGTGTGGGGAGAGAAGGGCTGCAGAGCAGATGCCACACCTCCTGGAAGGATATAGTAGCAGCTGTGTACCTGCTGCCTCAGGCACAATGTCAGGAACAATTCCACCCTCAGGAGTGGTGAATCTATGTACCATTCCCATTGCAGCCCATGGCTTTACCACTACACTTTTTTCTCTGAGCATGCAGTACTTCATTTAAATCATTTTATCCTTGCTAGAAGTAACTATTGTCTTTGGGTGAAAAGAGTAGGGTTGTATTATGTTTGCAGAACCTTAACTGGTCACTTGAGAGTTTGAGGTTTGGTTTTTCATCTAAAATACTTCTGAGGCTATGTTGGGAGACCTTAACTGAGCATTTCTGGGGCATTTTTGTTTGAGTTCAGATTTTAGAAGGCCCGTATTCCAAAAAAGATATAGGGAGCAGAAAGTGTTGTAGGTCCACCTTAACTAACATTTTTGAAAGTTTTTATTGAGCTAAAAGCTACATCTTCATAGCAACTCATTAAAAAAACCTTTTAAGGAATGGTCCTGTAGCACCTTGGAGACTAACTAATATATACAATATCATGTGTGTCTTGTTTGTGGGTACAACCCACTGCTTCAGATGAGTGAAGCAAAAGGGACAAACCCCAAATTTTAAGCAGAAAAAGTGAGGGGGTTACCCTGTCAATATAGTGCTTGTGATAACTGAGGCTAATTGAGTGGGCTGTAAGTGTTCCAAACTTAGCTTTTGATGTAATTTGGGTGCATGGGTGGCAGGTTTGTATAATTTTTGGTGGTGCCCCATTAGCCATGCCTCCTGCCCCATTAGCCACGCCCCCCCCATTAGGCATGCCTCTGGAGGTAACACACTCAGGGCAAGATGGACATATGAACAGAAGTAAAAGGTGTCATGTCCCCCCTCTCAAAAGACTTTTCACACCATCCTACCAACAGGGATTAGTTTGGCCTCCACCAAGCCCCCCTCATGCAACTATCCTGCAATTGCATTAACCCAATGTGTGACACATTAACTTGGGGGCAGAGAGCTGGGCGAAGTGTTCCTCTAAGGCTATGTCTACACTCGTGGCTTCTTGCGCAAGTACAGCTTTTCTTGTGCAAGAACCCACAAAGCATCCACACTGCCCGCCTGCTCTGGTGCAAGGAAATTTACAGTATGGCATAAGAGAGGGTGCCTTGCGACAGAGCTACGCACTTTTCTAACAGGTGTTAGCTCTCTGGTGCAAGAGGGCAGTGTGGATGCTCGCGGGGGGATTTCTTGCACAAGAAACCCCTATGGCTAAAATAGCCATTGCAGCTTTCTTGGGCAAGAGAGCATCCACACTGCCATGGATGCTCTTGTACAAAAGCACAGCTCGCACATGGCAGTGGGGACGTGTTCTTGCACAAGAACCCTTGTGCAAGATATTCTTGCGCAAGAAACTGCCAGTGTAGACATAGCCTAAGTGTTTCCTCCCGTGAGCAGAATGAATTTTGTGTTGTGCACCAGTATATTCTTGCGCAAGAAGCTGCCAGTGTAGACATAGCCTAAGTGTTTCCTCCCGTGAGCAGAATGAATTTTGTGTTGTGCACCAGTACTGTGTTGTGGCTTGTTTGGATGTGCCACTGTGGCACCCAAGATATTAATAAATATCTTATAAACCTCTACCTTTTCCCTCTGCTGCCATGTATCCCCTTGCTCCATCAGCTCCCCTGGTGCCTGTTGCCCCCCAACTCCTCATCCTCCTGTGCTGTCCTGACTCCTGCCCTTCTCACTGCCCTCAGCCCTCCTACAACCTGCCCCCTCACCAACCTTTCTCTCCCCCTCATGCCCACTCCTCCAGTAGCCCCGCTTTGTTCATGTGAGCTACCCCTCCTCGTCCCTTCTTCTAACACCTCCCTCTACAGACCTTCCCTGCCTCTCTCCTCTGGTGCTGGTCCCTCCCCTGCAGGTATCTGCCCTTCTGCTTCACACCCAGAATCCCCTGGCACCTGCACCTTCCCTTAGCCCTGCACCCTCCTGGTGCCTCCCCCTTCCCTCACTGCCCCTGCCCCCTTTTTCCCTGATGCCCACCCCCTCACCACTCTCTGCCCCCATTGTCCTCATGCCCCTCTGTGCCCTCACACGTGACTTGCTCTATCTCCACCTTTCTCATGCCCACCCCTTCTTTCAAACTTTCTCCCAGCACCTCCCCCTCCCAGCCCCCAATGCCCTTCCCCTCTTCTCTCCTCTCCCAGCATCACCCTGTCTCCCCTCCTGCCCTTTCCCTCATTGTCTGCACTTGGCCCTGGCATTTGTCTCTTTTCCACCCCTGTCCCTTGGTGCCTTCCCCTTTCTTCCCTCTATTTTTTCCCCCTCCCCTACCTTCTGTCTGATCTGCGATCAGGTCCTGCTGTCTGTCAAGGGGGTATAGGCCACTCTGGCATCCGCTGCCCATTCCTTCTGGGGCTGCGGAGTCTGGGCATTCGCCCCGCGGGGTTTCCTGCCGGGTCCCAGCTGCTGCAGGAAGGTGGATGCTTCCCTGAGCTCACCGCAAAGGCCCCGGGTAGACCCCTTCCCTCTTGCCTGCCATGCCGCTGGCATTTAAAATACTTGGCACGAGCAGGCGCCGCAAGGCTGTGGGGGCAGGGCTGGCCTGCCGCACCTGCTCACTGCAGCATCCGCTCAGGGGCGAGGCCTTCATGTCCCATCACCCTGTCTGGCGCACAGTGTGTGCATGTGCCAGAAGGGTGCGGGGAGACCGGTCTGCCGTGGCAGCTTGCTGTGGTATCCGTGGAGCCCGGGGGGGAGGACATGCCAGCAGGTGGGGGCTGTGGCCTG